ACATACCGGGGGTATGCCACAGAGTTCGCCGATCATTGAACAATCGTGCACAGGTGTGTATTGAGCAAGGTGGAGGACACTTTGAGCAATTACTGTAGGTAAGCTGTTTCAAGAAACTGATCTTTTTTTTGCTGCAGCCCAAACGGCATGTTTCCGAACAGGGGTTTATAAGGAAAAATTGTTCATTTCGGCTCTGTGCCTACGGCCTGACCGTTGAGATTACGTTCCCTATCTACAGCTCCGGAGTCAGTATGTGTGCGTCTCTAGTCCCCCTTACCTTCGTCCTCCTCCCCTTTCTGTACGCCCATGCTCCTTGGAGCGATGCGCGCGCTGGCTAGTGGCGAGCGATTCCCCGCTCGCCCTTCAGTACGCTTTTATCTATCGCACGGATAGGGTGTGTGCGTGTGCGTATGTGTAACATCGCGAGTTAAACGTTGTGTAACGTTCGAGAGAATAATAGTATAAATGCAAAGGTAAGAGACAAAAACCTTGGTTTGACAATTTAGTGTAGATGGCTACCATTTGATATAAAATTGTCACGGTCTCGGATCACTCGGTCCAGACGTGAGACTCCCTTCTAATGCATCTTGGGCAAATTCGCTAGAGCATAATATGGGCACTTGTGTGCAAGCGCACAATGCCCATTCATAGGAAAATTGAAGGGAGTCCTGCAGCCGGATCCATCTACACAATGTTTCGGCCCGACCGGCCCGTCAAGTCGGCCCGACCAGCTGCAGACTTCGGCCCGACCGGCTGCAGACTTCGGCCCGACCGGCCGCTACGTTCGGTCCGACCGGCTGCAAATTTTGGCCCGACCGGCTGCAGAATTTGGCCCGAACGGCTGCAGATTTCGGCCCGACCGGCTGCATTTTTGGCCCGACCGACTAACTAATTATAGCACATCTGCTTCCAGATGGCGATGGCAACCAATTTTGTTACTCTGGGTGAACTCTGGTCCAGCCACGTTGAAATGGAGGAAGAAGATGAAGCGATATTTTCCAGAATCAAGGTCTTAATAGAGAACCATCTGCCAGACGGCTGGAGAGACTGGAAGGTGATTGACTGGAAGAAAGAAGATCTATTTGGGAAAAAGATAGACCACAAAGTATTGAACAAAATTCGCTTCGCCCTCCCCACATTGGAACTGGTGAAAGCATTCTACCCAGAAGCAACATCGGTGGGAGAGAAAACCTACCGAAATATAAAATTGAGGCTTCTCGACTGGAACCTCTGTAGAGCATTGATCATGAGCCCACGGCAGGTAGCGTGTCAGTTACGAGGATCTATGGCTCAAGCGGAGCTCTTTAATAAGGCGGTGGAACCACTTAAACATACTATGCGTTCCAGAGAGCTGACGTCGGAGGCCCTTTCAACGGACGGGGAGTCTAATTATACGTCCCGAAGTAAAAGGAGACGGTGTCAATCGTCCAGCTCAGACGACGAGTACCCGGTCAGAACCGAGAAACCAATGAAGAGGAGGCGGCGAGTATTGTCTTCGAGCTCGGAGGAGGATGTCAATGAGACAAGGCTACGCCGCGTGGAAAGCATGGTCGAGAATCTTTACCACTTGGTCTCAGGAAATAAAGAGAACGATGGCAGCGTCATGAATTCGACGTGGCAAGCTCCAACTCCTACAGGTGAAGAGCTGTATGACGCCGACAGTATTGGCACATGTGGCAGCGTAAACGACTGGGACACGTTTTCCCCTGTCACTAGGGAAATCGAGCCTACAGTCCCTAGGGCGGACCCAGTAATCGAGACACAGGGCATGAAATGCCAGCGTTTCGGGGAAGAGACATGGAACAAGATTCGTTACGTGGACGCTCAGAAAAAACTCCACGCATCACCAGTCTTCAGTACTCTGAAGGTTAACTCATCCTTGTACAACAATGGACATGCAAGCCCAATGACAGATATGTTATCCAAAAGTGACCTGGCCTTCGGGACTATCTCACACGGTCTACTGAAGCAACGGAGAATCATACATGAGGCTCTGAAGGAGGCGGGGAACAAACACCCGGAAGCGGCAGACACTTTGAAAAAAGTTTTTGCTGCTAACAGTGAATACAAGACCATCTCGGACGACCTGCTGCAGTTCGTTTGCGGAAAAAGGGCGGAAATCATCGAAAGTCGCAGGAAACTATACGAGCCTAAAAGTAGTTACTATAGGTCCATCGTCAATGAGATTCCTCCGTCAGGTACGCACTTGTGGGATGAAGAGCAGCTGAAAGATGTGGTTAAAATGCATGGAGTGACGAAAATTGCTCCTGTCCGCTGGCAGAGTAATTTGGGAAAAGTCGCACTGAGACAGAAGGTGCCTCAAGGAACTTCTCATGAAAAGTATCTGCGTCAAGGTTCATTTAAAAAAATGAAGAAGGCAGAGTTTAAGCATTCGCGTAAGCCGGGGGCGAAAAGTCATACCAAGCTAGCTCGTAAGGAGCAACCACCTTTAGATAAAAGGCGGAGTTTTTGACAGTTTTCAGGCAGGACAACTCGCCAAATATGTCTCTGCTTGGAAAGTATGGGAGCCTCACAATCGATTCTCAGTATCCTGAAAGGCTACGTGATCCCTTTCTCAATAAAGCCACCAATAACAGTACTATCCCAACCGATACTAAACAAATTCGAGACACCAGCATCCACACAAATGGATCGAGAAATACAAAACCTCATAAATCAAAAGGTGGTAGTAAAACTGCAAACAAAACAGGTTTCTTATCAAAGATGTTTTTGACGCCGAAATCGGGGGGCTTGTGGAGACCAGTGTTCAATCTAAAAAGATTGAACAGCTTCATCACGCCCAATGAACCATCGCAAACTGCCATTATTTCTCCAGGAAAGAGATTATATGGTAAAAGTCGACCTTTCTCAAGCATATTTCCATTTGCCAATAAAGCAAAAGCATTGGCGTTATCTGGGACTTTATTACCGGCAAAACATCTACGCTATGACAGCACTACCATTTGGCCTAAGCTCCGCTCCACAGGTGTTTGCAAAAGTTACGAACTGGGTGGCGAGCTACTTGAGGAAACAAAACATTCGAGTAATGGTCTATTTGGACGATTTTTTGATCGCAAACCGGAATCCAGAAGAACTAAAGCGAGAGGTATCCACCCTGATAGATACTCTCATAAAGCTGGGTTTCTGCATCAACCTGGAGAAGTCCGAAATAAGACCTACACAGAAATTGGCATATCTAGGTATTATGTGGAACACCATAAGAAATCAAAAGAGTTTACCGGAGGACAAAATCCACCGTCTGCAAACATCAATCCAAGCTGGAATCAAGAGCAAGACTTGGAGCTGGAAGCAGGTAAAGGCACTGCTAGGGAGAATGGAATTTGCCTCGTTTGTTATCCCATTGGGTCGACTACATTGCAGAAAGATACAAAGAGCAGTCAATCGGATGTCAGAAAACCAACCAAAGAAACTGTTCAATATAGACCTGGACGTATTGCGAGAGCTAAGATGGTGGGAGAAAAACTTAAAAGGGTCATCCATAATCTGCATGAAAGAACCGGAAGTTCATATAATAACCGATGCCTCAAACACGGGCTGGGGAGCCCAAGTAGGAGACACTTTGAGGAAAGGAAACTGGACAGAGCAGCAGGAAAAGTGGCATATCAACAAAAAAGAAATGTTCGTGATCTACTTAGCGCTAAGAAACCACCTAGATCGATTGGCAAACAAAACACTGTTAATTCAGACGGACAACAGGACGGTGGTTTCCTACTTGAGAAATCAAGGAGGAACCAAGTCGGTCACGCTTTTGGCATTGACCAGGAAGATCCTGGAGCTGGCACATCAATACAGTATGTCTCTGAGAATAGAACATATTCCAGGAAACTACAATATTGTGACCGACCACCTATCCAGAGGAAAGGATCTGCCAGACTGGCACTTATCAAGGATAGCTCAGAAGAGGATCTTCGAAAAGTGGGGAACCCCTTGCATCGACCTATTTGCGACTCCAGAATCAGCCGTCGTTACAAGATTTGTAACGCAATTCCCATGCAAGGAGGTAGAATTCGTCAACGCATTTACAAGAACGTGGGAGTACAAGCTAGCGTGGATATTCCCTCCTCCACCCCTAATACCAAGAGTTCTCCAACACCTCAACTATTGTCAGGGAGTTTTCATAATGATAGTCCCCAGGTGGGAAAGAGTGTTCTGGCGGCCCCTGCTGAAGAGACGTGCCATCGACCACCCGTTCACCATTCGGAATCTGAAGGCTCACCTGGAAGATCTTCAAACCAACCAGCCTCCTCCAAAGGTAATGGATTTACACCTGGAGGCATGGAAGATACGGGGTGGTCCGATATAGCGAATCACTGGTCAAAGGATGAAAGGAGAATCTTAGAAACATCCTGGCGCAAGTCAACTCTCAAAACGTATGCCGTTGCATGGAAAAGTTATCAATCGTGGGCGAAGAAAAGAAGAGTTTCAGTTAAAAATCCAAACCCCACGCAGGTGGCTCAATACCTCTGCTTCCTACACAACACAAGAAAATTGGCGCTTAGAACGATCCTATTACATAAATCCACCATTGCGACATTTTCCAATCCACTACATAGTGAAGGAGTTTCCAGTAGCCCAACAGTGAAACAGGTAATTAGAGGTATTGCAAATGCAAATCCTCCAGCAACTAGGCCAAAGATTTGGAACATCGATAAACTTCTATCTTGGATTAATGATAACCATCCAGATACGAATAGTATCTTTCAAGTGGCCCGGCATCTATCGCTGCTTTTGCTGCTATCATCGGGAAGGAGAGTCCATGACTTGACACTCCTTCGAATAGATTCTGGTTTCTTTGAACAAACCGAAGAATACATAATTTTCTGGCCACAACATGGATCTAAGACAGACAAGCATAACTACGTCCAGTCAGGCTGGAAACTCCTCAAAAATCGAGAATGCATCTGGGATCTAGTACACTGGACAACCATATATCTAGAAATATCAGAAAAGAGAAGGAACCTCCACTGTCGACCGATTCCTCAACTATTCGTCACAACTCGTGGGAAGATAGGACCGGCATCTCGGTCAGTGATAGCAGGATGGGTCCGCACAGCGTTGAAATCGGCAGGTATATATGTAGAAGGAGGAGCCGGCAGTACCCGCTCGGCAGTGGCAACATCCCGCTTCAATGATAACATGCCATTGGATGAGGTTTTGCAGAAAGGAAATTGGCAGGGATCAAGCAATTTCTTCAAACACTACTATAAAAATATCGATAAGGATTTGGTACCTGACAACAGCAACAGAAGACTTATTTCGGATAAATTTGTCCCTATATAAGTATTATCATGGCTGTGAGCCAAGAATGACTGTTACTTTTCTTTTTATGAACTGTTAGAGTTATCATATTCTGTTTATGTCCTTGTATTGTTGATATTTTCTGTAGGGAAAATATAGAAAGTTCAGTATGGTCTTCATACTATAACCATGTCACAGTACGCTTTCTAACACCGTGGCGCGCCGGCAGATTGTAAACACTTCTCAACGGTCAGGCCGTAGGCACAGAGCCGAAATAGAACAATTTTCCCCCTGAAGGGAAGAAAATTGATATTTCGGGTCTTGCCATAGGCCTGACCTAGGTAACGCCTTGCCGGCGCAAGAGTACTGAAGGGCGAGCGGGGAATCGCTCGCCACTAGCCAGCGCGCGCATCGCTCCAAGGAGCATAGGCGTACAGAAAGGGGAGGAGGACGAAGGTAAGGGGGACTAGAGACGCACACATACTGACTCCGGAGCTGTAGATAGGGAACGTAATCTCAACGGTCAGGCCTATGGCAAGACCCGAAATATCAATTTTCTTCCCTTCAGGGGGAAAATTGTTCTGTTTTGATGCCCTCTACAACCCCTATCATTTTGTCGCAATAATTATGGAACACCCTGTATATATAGGTGAAAAATTAAAGCCTCCGCCTTTTGTTGGGTACTTCGACAAAATTTAAGCAAAGAGGACTCTTTATACTTTTTTTAATTCTCTCTAGCTTTCAATGGACTTTGCCATCATCATCAGGAGCTGCAATTACAATGATAACAGTAGCAACAAAAGTGTAAAATGAATTTAAATTGAATTAACTTACAGTAGTATGTGAGGATGTTGCTAATTGTTGTTTTCGTATAGGATGAAGGAAACGTCCAGTAACATGGTGAGAGCTGGATACATGGTACAATGGTTAAAATTATATAAAATATGACAAGACAAGTTAAAGTCAGATTAAAAATTATTTAGAAAACATTAGAGCATTACGTCGTGAAGCCACTTGATGATTGCACAAAATGGTGGTCATGGAATAATGAGTGAGATGAACCTTTGACAGAAGGCCGAAGGTTGTCAATGTCTGTGTTGAAAGATGGAACGAATTGTGGGCGTGTGCCAAAACGTTGCCAAATTATTCACCTAACTGGTTTAGATGACAATTCTCAAGTTATATATATATATATATATATATATATATATATATATATCATCAGCACCAGCTGCTTTTTTATGTTTGAGTCTGTTGAATAATAAAACTGTAGCACACACTCGATGAAAGGTCTCAAAAGAATGGCGTCAAGTAGGTTGACTCTGCCCTTTCCACGCCCTTGTCAGTAGATAAAGGAGTATCTTCAACACAAACTAGTCAGTCAAACAGGCCCTTACGTTTAGTCCAAAAACATCTTTTCCCTTCCCTACTGGTAGTGCATCTGGAAATGTCGCCTCTCCCCGATGCCTAACTCGTGCAGATGTGGCATCGCGGTAGCGCTGTCAGAGCATAGAAAATACTATGCTGTTGCAGAAACACGTGTGATTCCATACCAGAACACTCATTAGAGAAATCTATGATGTGTGAAATATTCTAATAGGCGCGTAGAATTATTAATGTTGGGAGTGTATAAATGTACCAGCATCAAAAAATTGACATAAACTCTCCAAACGTGCTCACAACCCCCACCCCCCCAAGTTTTTTTAATTCTAAGATTTTTTTCGAGAAGGATCAGGATCCTTTGACAAGTCAAAAACAAAGTTTGAGCAATGTTTACTGTTTTCATTTTAGGTCTTTTTTCTCTGCAGTCACTAAACTGATTTTCTAAAACTACAAAGCCTTTGCGTCCTTGATATAGTAGTAACATTGTGTAAAAAATTCATCAAAATACGAGGGGTATTTTTCAAGTTATACGCGGTTGCAACGACAGACAGACAGACATGAGTTACATGTTTTTTGATGTCATATAACATCCAAAAAACAAATGGCTTCATTTTCGATTTTCTTACAATACTTGCCCGCCAGTAGGGAAGTTAAAAAAAAAGGAAAAATGAAGTGGGACCCCGGATTACACCACTTTTTTATAAACTTCTTTGGCCAACGCCAATTCAATATTTCTCGGAGGTTGTGGCAGTATGGCATCAATATTAATTGAAATACGAGTATTACGTATTCCTTTCCGGAAATTTGAACAACATCCACTAAAAGTGTCAGGGGCGGACCATAGAAATGTCTTTTGGAAAATAACGAATCGGCAATCCATCAATATGAATCGAAACATTGGTATGTCAGCCTTTCAACATCAATCGCATCATCGCTTTGGAACTGGCGTACAAGGCAAAGCGACGTCGGTAACAAATATTTAAGGGCGTTCATAACATTCTAATAGTTTTGTAATCTGTATCAATCATTATTCAGTTATGCAAACCGAAGGCAGAGCACTTTTACCAGAACATGTCTTCTTAAAATGTTGAGGATACAATGTGGTGCAATCTCGATATTGTACCATGTAAAAATAAATGACATTAAATGTAACACATTAATCATCTTTTGATTTGAATGGAAGCTCTGCTTTATGCGGGTACTTAGAAGCTGCTTAGGCAATTAGTTTTGTCTATTTATAGGTTATACACATCACGAGACACAAATAATGCATTTTTTCTTTTCTTTAGTGTCGCACTAATTTTTGGATCAGGTCAAGTTCGCAAGCTGAATTTCAGAATGTTGAAATCCATTAGTAAAACTGAGATTTTAAAATTTCAAAATGGTCATACTCGTATGATATCTGCGATATTCAAGTTCATACGTTATAATATATGAACTATATAATGTTCTTATTATCTAGCTTCCAAAATATACTAAGTGACATATAAATCCGAACATCCAGTTTAAATGGTTTTATTTTAATAAAAGTTGGTGAATGTATTTATCTTACTGTACATAACAAGTGAACAAATTTTCAGCCTTATCAGTTGGACATTCCGGTTTTTATACTGCTTTTTTTTAATTCACTAACGCTCTAAAAATGAATATTCCAGCCGCAGTAAAGAATCAACGTTGGCGGATTTTGGTTCTTGACATCCTTTACGATCGGTTACAATGCCTAGAGTACGGAGACCTGTACGATTTCGTCAACTTAGTGAGTTTGATAGGGGCCGTATAGTGGGACTTCGGGAAGCTGGACTTTCTTTTCGGGCAATTGCAGTTAGAGTGCAAAGAAGTGTAGACACTGTGGTTAGTTGTTGTCAGGCATGGCTTCGAGAAGGCCGTACGCAAAGAGCAAGGGGCACTGGACGCCGCCCTAGAACAACAGACCGTGAAGATCGCCGCCTAAGATTATTGGCCTTAAGGGACCGTTTCTCCACTACCAGGTCCATTGCAAATGAATGGTTTGCAGAACACGGAAGACCTATTGGCATGCGAAGTGTTTACCGACGAATGAGAAGTTTTGGCTTGTTTTCATACCGGCCACATTGGGTCCTCCCTTTAACTCGAGAACACCGACGTAATCGCCTTGAGTGGTGCAGACAACGGTCACTTTGGGATCAGGAATGGAACAGTATTGTCTTTAGTGACGAGTCTCGATTTTATTTAGGCATGCACGATGGTCGTGCCAGGGTTAGAAGGCGACGTGGTGAAAGGAGGAATCCACAGTTTTTTGTTGAAAGACATGTTCATCACACTGTTGGAGTTATGGTTTGGGGTGCTATAGCTTATGGTTCCAGGTCACCTTTAATCTTCATCAGAGGTAACATGAACGCGCAGCGTTATATCCACGAAGTTCTAGAACCCCATCTTTTACCCTATCTTGACACCCTGGCAGATCCAACTTTCCAACAAGATAATGCCCGACCACATGTTGCAAGAGTCACAATAGACTTCTTTCAACATAATGATGTCACATTGTTACCATGGCCACCAAGATCAGATCTCCCGACTTATCCCCAATTGAGCACGTGTGGGATATGATGGGTAGGAGGTTGCTCAATTTGCAACGTCCTCCTCAGACTCTAGAAGCTCTTCGAGAGGAGTTGGTGGTTGCCTGGAATGAGATACCACAGGAGGACATTGACCACCTGATCAGAAGCATGCCTAGGCGCGTTGGAGAATGCGTAGCACATCAGGGTGCATCCACACATTATTAAAGGTCAAAGGGCTTTAAAGCAGTGCAATCATTTTGAAATTTTTATCATTTATCTATTATGCTTCATTAAGTACTTATACAAAATTTTATTAAAATAAAACCATTTAAACTGGGTGTTCGGACTTATATGTCACTCAGTATAGTTAACCGGCGGCTTTTCAATGTTGAGAATTTTTGTATATTGATCGTAATAAGCAACAATCAGAACATTAATCAATCGCGGCAGCTAATTGAAAAAAGCTAGACAATGTGTCTTATGAGCCCAAAATCAAATTAACAAAGTATAATAAATACATCGATCTGGCTTTCAACTGTGTGAGCTAATAATAAAGGGAAAAAATACAATCAATTGATTAATGCGTGCTATATTGCTTTACCAAAAAGGAAACAGTCAAGAACCAATACTGAACGGATGCCAACACAACAAAAAAAAAACATAAAGATAATAACAACTAATTATGATACATCTAACAGCTGATTTTCAACCAGTATCTTTGAGCTCCTAGCAGCCACGGTTTTTTTTTTTTTTTTTTTTTATATCGAAACAGCCGCGCAGGCAGAAGCCTAAATGCCGGAACACCGCGGCTGCTATGATGATCCCAAAGAAATTTTGTTAATACGATTTTTGAACTGCCTAAGGTTAGTACGGTGAACCAGTATTTAGGTTTCTTCCTACGCGGCTGATTCTGAATATAAAAAACGGGTCTCCCGGACTTCCTCAATTCACAAATTGTCATCGAACCGTAGCTGTTCATTCCTGCATTCCTAGATATTTTTAGAATTTACCCGTGTCTAATGGGTGGGCGTGGCTCATCAGGTATTCAATCATTGCAGAACCACTGCCTACTTTGTTTTTTCATCTTCAGTGTCTTCACAAGGAAATGCCGACTCATGGTCACTTTTGGTGAATGATGGACAAATGTCCGCCAGTCGAAAACTTAATTTGTTGCTAATGACTTTTGGTTGGTAATGGTCGTTATTAGCACAAGATCAAAAACAAAAGAATTAACGTAAAGGCGGGAATGTCCTTAAGTCACTTCATTAATTTTATGTTTCAATTACTTAGCCATATGGATAGGTTAGCTAGATATGAATCATAGATCGTTTGAAAGAGGACATTTGTGGTAAATATAGATTTAAATTGCATTATTATCCTTGTACAGAGGTTCGTATCGTCTGTCGTTCCTTCAATTGTAGGACGCCTTTATGGCCTTCTTGATTTTCAAAGTTTTCTAATGTTCTGCGTGAGCGCTCTATTTTGAGGTTACATTACAAACATCTATTTGCATCAAATTGTTCTTGCTTTTGATATA